GCCTGGTACCTCTACTACTCAATCTAGAGTGTGACGGAGACTAAGTAACTCCTATGTTAACTTATAGTCACTCCCTCAAACTTAGTATGGAGCCTAAAAGGTATGAGTCGTCCGCCTGTTTTTAGCAAACAGGGGCTCTCAATCACTACTCCTACTAGGTTAACAAATTATGAGTTAAAAGCCAACAAACATTGGCGAATAAAGGGAAACAACCGGTACCCGCCGCTTGTTATCTCTACTACTCAGTTCCTTGGCGACTAGGTAACACTCATGTTTACTTGGTCAGACCACTTTCCTACTTGGTTAAATTTACAAATGACAGGACCGCCTGCCTAAAAAGGATCCAGACAAAATAGTTCGAATACCGATTGGATAAATGGCCGACTGATCGTCTATCCTGGAAACAGACAACCAGTCGTCCAGGGGCATAGGCGTGCGTGACTAACTATCCGTACTTGTCTGCAACTATCGGCCATGTAAAACAGTCGGTCTAGTGAACAATTGGATATTAGAATATGGAATACTTAGACAAATTTGAGGCAAAACAAAAATTCATTAAAAAGAAGCCGGTCATTAAAGACCGGCAAAATATTCAAAGCCCCGGCCCCCTGGCCGGGTAAATACAAAACAAACGGCACGCAGGCCGTGGAAAGAATACATAAAGCTTAAGAAGGGGGAAGATCTTCAATATTAGCAGCTGCCGCCTGGTCAGCACTCTTCTTGCTGGACTCGGCTTCAGCTGCATCCTTTTTTGATGCCTTACCCCCAAGCGGCACAAGCGCCACTACCGGCTCCTCCTCCTCCAACGCTTCCTCCAACGCCTCTTCCTCAGAAGCCGCCAGGATCTCTTGATTATATGTATCAGAACACTGGCGGTACGTTTTTTCCCAAGAGGCAAAGTCGGCATTGGGGAAGAGGCGGCCCCAAGTCATGCGCTGGATTTGAGCGGAGTCTTCCATCATCTCCCGGACCAGCTCTTTCTTCTCTTGCTCGGCCTTTTCCGAGAGCTCCTGAGTAAGACTCTCCTCCTGGGTCACCAGGTGTTCCTCTACGTTGGCCAAGGATTTCTCCAAGGCTTCTTAAGAGTACATTTTTAGGCGAAGAGGTTTCAGCTCGGCCTTGAGATTGGTGATGGTCGCCTCCAGCTCGCCATTCCTCTTCTGGGCCGCATCTAACTGAGCCCGAACAGCGGCGGTAGCCTGCGCCTGATAATAAAGAATATCAATGGTCAGAACTTCATTTTGGGCAATTTGAAACATTTCCTTATCACAGTCAGAGGCGGCCATAGCTTTTGCAGCCTTTACCTCTTTGTTCTTCCGGTCAAGCGGCTTGCGAAGGCCGTTCACTCGGAGCAGGGCCTAAGTACAAAGGAACAGGCGTCCAGAAATTAAAATACTCAAAAATATGCTAAGTATACCTCAGCAAGGACCCCTGCAATCCCGTCTAGGTCAAGGGTGCCGACACCCCTGACCGCCTCCCTTTCAGCTGGAGGAACTGCCCTGATCATAGACTTGGCCATCTCTACCAAGTCAGGCTCCTGAGGGCCGGCTGCATCAAGCATAAACAAACGGATTAGACCTAGTAAAAAAGGGAGCAAGTCTAAAATTTACAAGGACAACTTCTTACTTCTAGGCGGCCCAGTTGGAGTTTTAGAAGAAGTGGCCGGCTGTTTCTCAGCCGCCACCTGTTTCCTGGCAGAACCAGGAGAGCTCGCAACAGTCGTCCTCCGGGCCTTGGGGTCCGGATGTTGGGAAGATGAAGCTCTTGGAGCACCCGTCTAAAAAAGAAGAAAAAAGTCAGTATATGTATAAACACAACTCCAAAAAGAGGGTGAGGTTCGGAGCTCACCAAGGGTGCCCCCTTCTTGGGGGAGTCGGTTGAAGCTTGTTGCATGATAGAGGCCCGCAACATGGCCGCCGCAGTCTTGGAGCCGGTGATTTTGCTCATGGCGTCAGCTGCAAAAACAAACAGCAAAGTTAATAAAAGTCATAACAAGAAATGTATGGAACAACAGAGCATTCGACAGGCCGACTACCTCTTGAGCACCGACTGCTGAGGCCACAGGCGGCCAAAAAGTACTCGTCGTAGAGCCATTTGAAGCTTGGGACGCAATGCAGGGGTACTTGCTCTCGTACCCCTGAAGTAGAGTCGACCCTCGACTCTACTTTAAAGAGTCCTTTATCAAGGATCTCTTTCTTAGCCTTGGGGGGAACAGGCGGCATGCTACGGCCGCCTGCAAGAAGGGGCGGATTCCTGTTCCACCTATTGAAGCGCTTGTTCAGCTCAATGTCTGAACTCTCAATGATGAGGAAGGTGCTCCGCCAGTCCTTCCACTTGTTTGCTTTACCTCTCGTCATGAGGTAGCCCCTGTGGCTTGTCAATTGATACCAGCCGGTACCGCCTGTCTTAGGGGTCCGGCTGAGATAGTTCATATGGGCGAAAGCCTCGAAGCTCGGCTCCACCCCGTGCAGTTCGCACCCGGCCACATAGCCGAGTACGTTGACCCAGGAGTTTGGGGCTAACTGTCATAACCCCAACTCATACCCATCCAAAATCCGCTGAACAGCCGGATGTAATGGGAAGCGCAGCCCTGCCTTGATGGCCGCCTCGTAGCAGCCAAAGCAGGCGCTATCATAACTGGAACCAGCCGGCCAGACGACTGTGTCTTCTGGATCCGACACAAACACTAGAAAGTCGGGGCCCATGGTGTGGTTTGCAATAAAGCTCTCCACTTTCTCTTGCATGGCTGTGATCTGGCCCCGAGGTACCGTGCATTAATAGGGGGTATTTAGCTCTCGGTGAGAGGCGGATGGCTCCGCCCAATTGTCCCCCTTCTCAACTGCGTGAGAAAGTCTCGCCTCTTGCAGGCGGCTGTTTTTCTCTTCTGTGTCCAAAGAAGCATGGCCAGAAGAGCTTGACTCGGAATCGTCCTCTGACGAGTCCGAAGAGGACGACTCCTCCCCTCTCCGGAGGGGCCCGCCTCCTCTCTTTGAAAAGGAGCAGAATTGTTAACTGTTAAATGGGAAGGGGTCACTATGACTCCTTCCTCAGAATTGCCGGCTTTCAGGCCGCCTTGTTTCACTTCCACATCTGGCGCCTGATCAGATGTTTCACTAAGCGGCACCCTGTGGGAGGAGCCGTTTGAATTTGAGATCCTAGCAGTCTTTTTCGTTCTGGCCATCCTGCTCTGCATAGACACAAATACAGTCGGACTTTGTATAAAGGGCAAAGATGGGTCCGGAAAAGGGCAGGCGACACTCCTAGTCCTAGATTCAGCCGTCCCCGGTGACCGGCTGATCACTAACCTAGGTTGTGTCGTGTGCTTCCGTGGTGCCATTTCAAAAAATAAAAAGAAAATTAAGAGTAAGAGAACTGACAGTTACCTGAACGAGTGACGGTTGATGAAGTTCTGAAAATCCTGTGCAGTCGGCTTGTCAGAACAGGCGGTAGGCAGAAAAGGTCCGAAATGTCAGAGCAAGTTCAGGGGTCCGAATGTTCTCAAAAAGTTCTCAAAGTATGAAAATGACTCAAGACAATCCTCCGTTATATAGGCGAAATGAGAAGGCGAAGGGTCACTTTCAGAATTCAAAATTTGGGCGGGAAAATCTCTCGTCCTTTCGCCGACTGACACCTGTAGAAGGTCGCCGCCTGTTACAGTGCGACACCTGTCTCAGGTAACACGTGACCAATCACGTGCCACCTGTGAGGGGCAAATGATTAGGGGATTTTGCTCCTACTAATCGGAATGCGCCACGTGGGCCAATCAGGTCCTGCCAAGTGTCCCCCAGTTGGAACTGTCAGGGCTTGCCACGTGGCACGCGCTTATTCGTCCACCTTGGACCTGTTATGTCATGACATGTGGCATACTCCATGCCTAATGGAGAAACCGGCCACCCAGGCCCAACTTCCGAGGGAAGCCCAATCGGCCCTAGGTTAACCTAAACCTAGGATGGGCACGTTTCCCAAGGTTATAAATACCTCCCTTAATCCTCATTAAGGGGGATTACGAAAAAAATACATTAATTACACACAGTAATAACCGGCTGATCTCGCTAACAAAGCAGATTACCTACATTAATCACTCTCACCTAGAGAGACCCAATCACTTTAATTTCCGCATTAATTACTCCTTAATCAAGTACTAACTTGACCGTTGGAGGCGGAGCTCCCACCACCAGGAGTCTCCGTTATTTTGCAGGTACAGGCGTCCGGTTCCAGTCTCGGAATTGTAACTCTCCCGCAGGACATCAGAAAACCCCGAAACATTAAGTGCATGAGAAATCCAAGCTTAGTCTTTGCATATCCCGTTTGTCTCTGTGATTCCTTGTTGCTTAGTTACCAATGGTTAGGCGGATTCCCGTTCTCCCTAGTGTCTTAGTTTATTGATTTATTCCATCTTATTAGTAGTATTTTAGAACACCATTTTCCATTGATTTCGAACTAGCTTAGGTTTAAGATTGATTTGCAATTACTCTCGTTCCTCGTGGACCGAACCTTTATTTGCCATTGTACTTGGTTATAGGGTGTTCGTATAAGTATTGTTTGATTGAGAGTTAGATTGTAGCGACCGATTTAACCCTCGTCACTGCTGCTCGATACAAATCAAATGTCCTAAACAGGGCAGAGGCAACCACCCACATCAAGGTGGATAAGCAGAAAACTGGCGGCACCCCCAAGGTGAGAACTTGTTATACTTGCCATTTCTAACTAATGCTAAATTTGTCAGAATGATTTCTGACTTGTTTTATCTTGTGTTGATGTAGGGTGCCCCTACCAAATCTCCCTCAAAACCATCCGACCCTAAAATCCAAAAGACAAGGGCGGGTTATGTGAGCGCATCCGACAAGGGCGGCCGGAAGCACATTGCTCAGAAGCCCAAGAGAGGCCTAGAAGCCTCTTCTCTTGAAGCTGATAGGGGGATCAGCAAACCGGATGTCCAGAGGACATCGAAGGGTGGCTTCAAGCAACCCACCACTGGTGTCGGCTCAGTAGGAGAGAGGAGCAGTTTGGGGAAAGAGGAGGAACCACAGGACGGCGGTAAAAACCATTCGCTTTTTTTGTTCTTCCATTTAGATATATTTGTGTTATTTTTCTAACTCTCTTTCCTTCTCAGTCCCTGTGTAGAGGCCGATTGTAATCCAGATGGCCAAGTCCATGCTGAGGGCGGTTGATCCTGACGACAAAGCGTCTGTCAGAGGGGTCGACACTCTGGACTTGGATGGCATCTTGGGGAACCTCTGCGAGGTATGAGTCTTAACTTAAGCAATTCTTCTCTTTTTTTTTTTTTTTTTTTGCTCAAGTCTTTATCCGCCTGGTTTTAACCATTCGGCTCTTTTTGCAGGCCATGCTGCGCGTCCAAGGGCTCAGGCAACCCCTCAAGGACAAGTCCAAAGAGGTAACAGCCGCTAAAGCTCGGGCCGAGTCCGCCTTGGATCGAGCTCAATTTGATATTGCTCAAAATGAGCTTCTGACGCTTGATATGATGTATTCGCAGGCGGAAGCCAATATGCAGGTGAGGAAGGACCTGAACTCGGCCCGCCTGCACATCACTTCCCTTAAGAAAGAAATCACAAGTCTTAAGGAGAAGCTCGAGCCTCTTCAGGATGCCAAGGAAGAGGCCGAGAGAGCCAAGCAAAGGGTGGGCCGCCTGGAGTAGCGCCTCACCAACCAGGAGCATCAGCTGAAGACCAAGTTTGAGTCCGTAGCTTAACAAGAGAGAGAAGCTTTTGTTAAGCAAATGATGAGCGACTAAGATGCCATCATGCGGGACACTTGGGCGGCTATGCAGCCGGACTCGGACTATCAGACTTGGAAATCCAAGTTTGATGAAGCCAGCAAAGCATTTGACGCTCGCCTTCTTAACGAGGCTGAGAATGAAGCTAGGGCTGCTGCTGAGGCCGAGGAAATTTCTGGGTCCGACTCTTCTGGGGAGTCGTCCTCTGGTGAAGAGGAGGAAGATCAGGTGGAGGAGCGAGAGAAAAATGATGAAGAGAAGCCGAAGGGCAATAGGCCGGCTGCCAATGAAGAGACTCTCCCCTGATCACTTAAGCTTTTTATTTTTTCTGCAGCCGAATGGCCATGTACTTGCTTTTCCGGCCTGCGTGCCGAGTATTGATGCTTCTTTACCAACCGAGGGGTCGGGTACTTTGACAATTTCTCTGGCTTTGCCAAAAAACAATCTTAACCAGTCGTCTGATGGCGATTGGTCTTTTTAATTTTAAATCATTCGGCCATTTGGCTGAAGTTATTTATATTGTTGTCCTTTGCATTTTTGAATTTTTCATTTCATATTTTTGGCTAAGTATTATAACCTGTATACCATGCGAATGTTCTTGCCCCTGGACGGATGTCGAGTGGTTTCGGTTTATTGGATTGATTGACTTAGAAATTATTGATACTTAGAAGAGTATTCATGGTTTCTAAGTCAATCAATCACTGTGGTGATTGCCCCAAACCACTCGGCAGACGTCCATCCAGAATTGGCAACTTAAAGTTTACATTCGGCCATTGGCTTAAACAAAACTCAAATTTCCAACTTAACAAATTTTACTAGGGGAAAACTTCCGCCTGTTTTGCCCCGTGAGCCAAACACAGGCGCATCCGGCCATAGGCCTCTTTGAGATAAGATAAGTTTATAACTTCGCAAATGGTCTTTAAAAAGAATTGTCCGCCTGTCTTGCCCCAAAAGCAAAGAACAGGCGTCATCCGGTCAAAAGCCTCATTAGGTGCTTAAGTAGTTAACTTGTATATTAACAAGAATGTTCCGCCTGCTTTGCCCCTGGGCAAAAACAGGCGCATCCGGCTTAATGCCTCTTTAGCCTCTACATATGAAACAGTGACCATTTTCGAGCTGTGCTAGAACAGTTAGAAAATTCAGGCCTTTTAGATTTCACTTTCGATTAAAACAAATGACTGCGAATGCTGCCTTAGCATTCGGTAAGGCCGCTTGTTATATTTGTAGAGCAATGTGCCACCCAAATGGGAGATGCTTCTCCTCGACAAATTCGCTCGAATGGATGTCGCCGGTTATCTGTCTCATGTTGGAGCAGACGGTCATACTCATGTTGGAGCAGACTGTGACCATTCGATCTCTTTTATTTATTAATATCCGGCCATGGGCCTCATCATTATTTTATCTTAGGCCTCTTAAATGGTTGAGTAAATATTTGTTAAGTGTCGATATTAACTTAATGAATTTTGTAGGAACGACTGTTCTAAAGCAATCGGCTCCTTCAGAAGGATTGGGGCGTCTGCTGTTGGGACAAACACTTTCCAAACGCATTGGTCGTCTTTACTTTGTACAGGCGACACTAAGAAACTTAAATAAAAAGATAAGTTAGGAAATGAAGGCATATTCTCATTAACAAAACTTGAGATAACAAAATTGAAGTCTTTACATTCGTACTTAGAAGTAGTACTTTTTCAAGATGTCTACATTCCAAGTTCTAGGCACCTGCCTGCCGTCTGGGTCTTCCAGGCGGTAGGTGCCGTCTCTTACTTCCTCATAGATTCGGTAGGGGCCTTCCCAATTTGGGGTTAGCTTTCCCTGTTCATTCACCCTACCGACTGCCTCCGTTTTCCGTAGCACAAAGTCCCCCACTTTGAGAGGACGCTTGTGTACTCTCTTGTTGTAAGCTCTAGTCATTCTCAAACGGTATATCTCATGACGCAAGGCAGCATTGCCCCTGCGCTCCGAAAGTGAGTCCAATGCTAGGCGATGGCCTCCCAGTTCGCCTCTTCATCATACAACATGATTCGAAGAGTCGGCTCATAGTGCTCAATGGGCAGAACAACTTCTGCTCCATACACCAAGAGAAACGGGGTTTCTCTAGTTGCCCCTTTAGCAGTCGTTGTGATGGACCAGAGGACGTGTGGTAATTCATCCGCCCAGAGACCACCAGCCCGTTCAATTTTCTTTTTAATCCCGTCTGAGATTAACTTGTTTAAGGCTTTGACCTGGCCGTTTGCTTGAGGTCGGCCGACTGATGCAAAGAAGCTTGAGACCCCTTGCTCTCCTAACCAAGTCTTGAGTTGAGGCGTCTCAAATTGAGGACCATTGTCAAAAACCATAGACATGGGAACCCCAAAGAGAGTGATAATGTTCCTCCAGATGAAGGAAATGACATCTTTTGTCTTGATGTTTTTGACTGCCTCCGCCTCTACCCACTTGGTAAAATAATCCACAGCCACCAATATATAGCGCTTGCCGCCTGGTGCAGCTGTATATGGCCCCAGAATGTCCATGCCCCATTTGGCAAAAGGTATTGGGCTGTGGATGGCCGTCAGGTCTGTGGCCGGACGATGGATGAGCTTGCCAAATTTTTGGCACTTGTCACATTTTTTTACCATTTCCATTGCATCCGACTCCATAGTTAGCCAGAAGTAAAGCCGCCTGGCCTTGGTAGCGAGGGATCTGCCGCCTATATAAGAGGCGCAGAATCCCGAATGCAACTCTTCGAGGACTTCCTTACCCTTCTCAGGGGTTACACACTTCAATAGGGGTTTCAGAAAACCAGCCCTAAAGAGTTCTCCTTGTCGCAACTAGAAGTTAGCTGCTCGTTTTTTCAGAACAGTCGCCTCCTGTGGTGAGTCAGGGAGCGTGCCGTCTTCAAGATAGGCCCGGATGCTGTCCATCCAGGTTGAGCTTCGGTCAAGAATTCCAATGGGGTCTTCCTCAGATATACTTCTTCTTTCCATGACTTCCCAGAAAACTGACCGAGGCGTTTCACAGGAAGCGGATGACGCCAGCTTGGACAGAGCATCCGCCTGATTGTTTGAAGACCTGGGAACTTGAATAAGATTGAATTCTTCAAGTGTCCCAACTTCATCCTTGACCGCCTGCAAGTATTTAATCATGGCCCTATGAGTGGCCTCGTACATCCCATTGACTTGGAGTACGACCAGTTGTGAATCCGAGCAAGCGTCAATTTTCTTTGCCCCTGCTGCCTTACAGTACCGAATGCCAGCAAGCAGGGCTTCATACTCGGCCTCATTGTTAGAGACCTGGAACTTGAACCGTAGTACATACTCGTATTTGTCTCCTTCAGGAGACTGACAAATAATTCCTGCACCACAGCCGTTCGCAGTGGAGCTCCCGTCCACATAAACTTTCCAAACCTGACTAGTATCATCCGGAGCAACCGGCCTTGTCATTTCCACAATAAAGTTGGCGAATGCTTGCCCCTTTATTGTTTTCCTTGGTTCGTAAGTGATTTCCAATCCTTGCATTTCAATCGCCCATTTGAGCATTCGTCCAGAAGACTCCAAGGTTGTGAGTGGCCGTTTGAACGGTTGGTCAGTATAGACTTCTACCGCATGCGCCAAGAAGTAGGGTTTAAGCTTCTTGATGGCCATGTAAAGGGCAAGGCCGAATTTCTCAACCATGGGGTACCGAAGCTCCGCATTTCTCCGAACATGGCTAATGAAATACAATGGGAGCTGAATGACGTCTCTTTCAACTAAGAGAACGACACTGAGGGCATGATCTGAGACGGCTAAGTACATGAAGAGCTTCTCTTTGGGAAAAGGACTGACAAGCCTCGGCAAAGAGTGCAGATGAGTTTTCAGCTTCTGAAAGGCCGCCTCTACATCATCCCCCCATTCAAAGTTTGTCTTCTTTTTGATTGCCTGGAAAAAGTAGAGGCACTTGTCGCCTGACCGACTGAGGAATCTCCCCAAGGCTACCAGACAACCTGTTAGCTTTTGCACTTCCTTTACATTACGGGGCGACTGCATGTCGATTACCGCCTGTATTTTCTCAGGGTTGGCCTCTATTCCCCTTTGGTTAATCAGAAATCCGAGAAACTTCCCAGACTCAACACCAAAGACACACTTTTTTAGGTTTAGCATGACCTTGTGCCGCCTGAGTGTGGCGAATGTTTCTCGGAGATCAGCAAGATGATCCGCCTGTTGTTTGGATTTGACTATCATGTCATCAATGTACGCCTCTACATTCCTTCCGATTTGATTAATTAAGACCGTGTTAATCATTCGTTGGAAAGTAGCAGGCGCATTCTTCAAACCAAACGGCATCACCGTATAACAGAACAACCCCTGATCAGTGACGAATGCCGTCTTTTCTTGATCTTTTTTCCACAGGGGGATCTGATGGAAACCTGAATAGGCGTCCATAAAACTCATCAAGGCATGTCCGGCTGTTGAGTCGACCAGACTGTCGATCTTAGGAAATGGATAACTATCCTTTGGACATGCCTTGTTGAGGTCTGTGTAGTCAACACACATCCGCCAAGTTCCATTCGGCTTTTTTACTAACACAACGTTAGCTACCCACTCAGGGAAATTGCACGACCGAATGAACTTGGCATCTAACAGCTTTTTTACTTCGCCAGCTGCCGCCTGACTTCTTTCTTCGCCGTGGTTTCTTTTCTTTTGCCGGATGGGCTTCTTTTTAGGATCCACGGCGAGTTTGTGGACAGCGAGATCCGAGCTGATGCCTGGCATCTCCTCCACTTCAAAGGCAAAGATGTCTTTGAATTCTCTGAGTAGCCGGTGAAGGCTTTCACCCAGCTTTGCAAATGCAACCGTCCCCACCTTAACAGTCCGTTCTGGACGGCTATTGTCCAGAGGGATATGAATGTGTTCACCAGTAGGCTGAGGACGGAGGTCATCCGACTGTTCCCCGATCAGTGATTGTTATTGTTTTTCTTTTTTGACCACCACCGGCTGATCAGTCTTTCTTTTCTTTCCGGCTTGTGGGGCCGACTGTTCTTCCTCGACATCATCGAGGTCAATTGTTTGCTTGCCCCGACCGGATGCTACGGCCGCGGGCTTGACGTCCTAGAGGTAACACTCTCGAGCCGTCTTTTGGTCCCCATTAAGGGAACCGACTGTTCCATCATCCTTCTCATACTTGAGTAGCATGAGAGCAGGGATGATGACGGCCTTACACTCGTTAAGAGTGGGATGGCCAAAGATGAGGTTGTAAGTTGTGAGCTCTTCAACCACTAGGAAACGGATGGTCATGTGCCGACCGTCTCCCTTGCTTTCCCAGGCGGACAGGTAAGTCAATTCGTCCGACTGGGTGCACAAGTCCTCCCCCAAACCCAACAAGGGTGTGAGAGACCTCCATCATGCTATCCGGTTTGTACTTGAGATTGGATAAGCATTTGAGGCTGATGAGGTCAGAGGAGCTTCCTGTGTCAATCAGAATTCGGCCAACCAACTGGTTGGCGACCTTGCACTCAATGACAACAGGGTCATCATGCGGCCGACGAACTTTGCCTGTGTCCTGCTCGGTGATGACAACTTTAGGGAAGGTGGATGTGCCTGCCGCATCCCCTTCCTCAACAGAGTTGACCATCTTTCTCAGATGGTCCTTGATGCCCAAAATGGTCAGGCCACCACCGGAAAATCCGCCTGCTATGGTGTATACCAGATCTTCATCAGTTTCGGCACTCACAGCAGGCTGGGGAGTCTTTTTCTTGGACTGCCCCGGATTTGCCTTTGAAGTCACTTTGGACTTCACATAGGACTTCAGCTGTCCTTTGTCGGCCAGACGGTCGAGCTCCCGCTTTAGACTAAAGCAGTCGTTCGTGTCATGGCCAACATCCTCATGGAAATGGCAATGCATGTTTTTGTTCCAATTTTCAGCGGAACCTTTCATAGGAGTCGGCTTTTCAAGAGTCAGCCGATCCTTAATTTCCAAGAGGATGGAGCAGCAGTCCTTGTGGAATTCGTACCTTGGGAAGTACGGTGTCCACTCCTTTTTCTTCTTCTGGGCCGATTGATCAGAGTTATCAATGGCCCAGACTTGTTTTTTCTTTTTGCTCTCTTCTGTCTTAGGAGCCGGCTGAGCAGGCCGACTCTCTTTCAGCAGGTCGGACTTCTTATGGTCCGACTGCTTATTGGAGGAGCAGAGTTCAGTCGCCTGTATATAGGCTTCCGCCTCTCGCAAGGCTCCTTGCAGAGTAAATATTTGTTTGCAGACGAGTTCGTACTTAAAAGTAGACCCGTCCTTCATACCCTTGAAGAAGTCTATGAAAGCGACCTCATCAGACAGCCTATGAATCTGGATTCGTACTAGATTGAACCGCCTGACGTAAGAACGCAAGCCTTCTCTATCTCCCTGCTGTACACTGCCCAAGTCAAGACTTGTATTTTTGGCAGGGATGTTCATAGAGAAGTTTGAAGCAAACAAGAACGCAAGCGTCTTGAAGCTATTTATGCAACCAGCCAGCAGATTGCCAAACCACTGCTGGGCTATGCCCTTCAGGGTGGCTGGAAAGCAACGACACCATGCGGCATCATCCAACCCCTGTAAATACATGAGGTGGGTGTATTCTAGCAGGTGGTCTTCTGGGTTGGAGGTCCCGTCATAGGCTCCAACCAGAACGTTTTTAACTTTAGTCGGCTGTACGGCTTCAGTTATTTCCCTGGAGAAAGCAGAGGGTTGATCTCAAACGTGTTGCAGCCTAAGCTGCCAGTCCATCAGCTGATAGCCGTATGCCGCCTGTCCTCCAAAGAGGGCAGGTTGCATGTAAGGTAAAACTAGCGCCTGGTACAATGGTTGTGCCATGTACTGGGCCGACTGAATCATATGAGGACCAGACTGAACCCGTTGGCTGCTTGCTGGAGTCTCATGTACAGACTGGGAACACCTCACAGAGGTATTCCGAAAGCTATCATGATAAGTCGACGTTGAAGCCGACTCTGATAGCTGGGTTCTCTTCTCCTCAATGTATTGCCGAGCGTTAGAGAACGTTTTTTTTGCTATCATCCGGCTGTATGTGCCGGATGGCTTTTCTTGTGCCCATTTCTAGGAAACGAAGCCGAGTAAGGTCAAACTGGGGCCATGCCTTCTTCTTAGGGGCAGGATGAGGAGTTGGCTGACGGTCCCTGACCGACTTCTGTTTGCCAGCTTGGGCTGGCTTCTTGGCCGACTGCTCCTTTCTAGGAGCGGGCGACTTCTTTGAGGTGAGTTGTTTGATTTCACCCCTGAGGCTGCTCAGGAGTGTCATTAGTTCATCTCGAGTGACGGGAGTCGATCCTGCCGCCTGGGAAGGATCAACCGGCCGCCCCGAGGGCTTCTTTGGATGACTAGCAATTTTGCTTAGGCCTGCCTGGTCATGGTGGCGCTCCCGCCTCTCCTTACTGCGGATGTGTTTAGAGATGAGGGATCCATTTGGATTCACAAAGGTTTCGACATCAGCGTCGTCACCTGAGTCATGATCCGTTTGGACCTACGTCTTCTGGAGGCCGATTGGCCTCTGGGTTCGGTACAGGTGCTTGTGAAGCCATTTCAGAGGTACTCTCCCCACAGACGGCGCCAAATATTTTGGGGGTTTTTGTCCCTTGGGAGAGTTACAACACTGAGACTGGATTCAACAAAGGACGCCTGCACCTGCAAAGCAAACGGACCGTCGGATGGTCGGTGGTCCTCCTCCGAAGATTAAGTTAGTAAACGTTCGGTAATAAAACGTGCGGAAGTAAAGTTTATCTGCTCGGATTCCAAGCTCAGGTAAAGTGCTGTGTGTTCCTTGAAAACGGCATCTCTGTGGTAAGTGACGTGTTGTCTCGTATTGTGTGTATATTCTCTGTCTTGTCATAAATGGAAGAATGTCCCTATTTATAGGGTCCTTTTGGAAAGTGTGCCCCTCCTAGGATCTGGTGACCTAGGAATTAGGTCACGCCGCTTTTTAAGGGCTCCTTGGGATTAGGGCCTTGAAAGCCGCCAATCCCAGGGGGCAATATCTGCTCGACACGTGTCACCATCTGGATGGTCCAACTAAGTGCTCCTTCCAGTGACACGTGTCATGCTCTGATTAGGCCACTTGGCAGGGGATAAAATACCCAAATCAAAGATAATAGCTACTTGTGCAGGGGGTGTTGTGAAAGAAGACAAGTAATACAGTTAAAGATTAAATTCCTTTGGAACTTGAAGGAAAGTGACTGCAGCAGGTAATGGAAACTAAAAGTGTAGCAAATAAATCTTCTTTTTAATGGGGTTTGAAAGTAGCCCTGAATCTCTACTTTCATCCATTATTTATTTTTTTTTATTTTTTTAAAATTTAATTTTTTATTATTCTTATTCTTATTATTTTTTATTTTTTTGGTAAAAGATCAATTCAACCCTAAGCTGATGTTTAAGGCTTAAATATAATTTTTACTTTTAAACACACCAAATTTGTAAGAGTTGTTTTAGCAATTATTACAACAAAATATTTTGATGTTTGACGAAATAGACGAGTATAGGAGTTAGGCTCTTTTTGGTTTCTTATTTTGTCTATAATTATTTTATTTTACTACGAGTATATTTTGTGCGATAATTTTTTTTATTATTTTTTTTTATGTCTATGAACTTATATGATTTTCACAAACTTTTATATGTAGCTGGCGGCTGGCCACACAATATGACCAGTCATTTAAGAAGTTACTTAATTTTATAGGCATTACTCGGTCAATGTTGCAAGGGCTACTCAATTTATATATAAAGTCTACTCGATCAGTATTACAGGGGTTATGTACTCAATCAATGTTTGAGGAATAACTTTATTCTTTTACAAGCGGTCACATTGTGTGGCCAGCCACATATACAACAGTAACAACATGCTCTATTATTTCTTAATATATTTTGTTTGAACTTATTTTATTTGATCTGAATATATTTAATTTCATTTATTTAAAGTTACTTTTTATTTTATTTTATTTTTTAATTTATACTCCGTACTATTTTATTTAACTTATTTTTGAAATAAAATAAAATAGATGTTGAAGTATGTTGAAATTAAAACATTAATGTAATCATCTTTTATTTATTTATTAATTTTTTTTAGGACAATGTAATCATCTAATTAAACCAATTAATATGAAGTACCTTTTTATATCCATTAAAAAAAAAAGTGTAACCTTTTATATCTAGTAACTAACAATTAGTCCATTATTTTCCCATTGCAAATAAATGGCTCTAACTTAAAAAACTAATCCCCCTCCGTTTTTTTTAAATACTTGCTCGATCTCTCATTGCACGGAATTTTAGGAGAAATTGATGAAAGTAATAAAGTATGAAGGTAGTGAGGTAGTTGGAAAAATAAAAAATTGTAAAAAGCAAAGTAGTGTTGAGAATTTGGGGGAGAGAATATGAAGTTAATAAAATATGATTTATGTTGGGTCTACTAGGTGAGAGAAATGAATTAAATACTGTAAAAGCTTTCCAAATAAGATAATGGAACAAACATTTAAAAACGGCCGAAAAAGAAAAGTTGGAGCAAGTATTTAAAAACGAAGGAAGTACTTCGTATGATTTTCTCCATTGCAAATTAAATGGCTCACTCTAAAAAAAAAAAAAAAAAGTGTTTTGGAAAAAAAAAAAAACAATTAATACTCTGTAGCATTATGCTTTTGGAAAAAAAAATCATTAATCAACACGAGATAATATAGTCACGTGGAGTTTTGTATTCGTCTCATTCTATAATTTAGTATTATCAAGTTTTTATAATTTTTACACATATAAAAATAGATTCTTATATGTATTAAAACGTGTTTTGAAGATCGTAAAAAGTCAAATGTTAAAAAAAAAGTGCGTAATTACCAAGACGGACCTTCGTATAATGCATGGTATAATACTCCCTCCATCTCCAAAACTTCGACCCTTTTGGCCTAATTTTAGCTCAAAATGATCAATCCATTTGCATTAAAATATCCACCAATTAACAAAAATATTTATGCAAAATTTGCTTTTCCATATAAAATTTTATTTTTTCATTTATTTTTAATACTTTATCTCTCTACTTTTTTACAAATTTCATGTAAATTTATTTTATTTTATTTTTTGAAATAAAACTCATGTAAATTTATCTTTCTAATATGTTTTTATTTCTTTTTATTTAATTTTCTTAATAATCGCGAAATCAACCCTGAATTTTTTGGGACAAAAGGAGTAAGTAAATAAATGGGGTTGATTTGTGCGTGTAAAGAATTTTAGAATCTAGACTGTAGACTCACTAAATGTTTGATCATTCAATTAAATGACATGATTCCATATTTTTTGTATTGTCCTTTTCCTTCTCATGATCACCTTTTTCCTCCCTTTATATAGCCTTCCAAACTTGCACAATCTTCCTCATTCCCAAAACAAAACCAACAAACAACTTCACATTCTTCCTCTCAACATCAAAAAATGTCAACAACAAATACCCCACAAAAAACATTCATGAAACCAGCCTTTGAACAACAACAACAAATATGCTCTGCTTCAATGCTCTTCCCATTCCTCCAAAGGAACACCTCTATATCTCAGACTAATGAGAGGAGAGGTCGGCGAAAGCAGGCCGAACCCGGCCGGTTTCTAGGAGTCAGGAGACGGCCGTGGGGCCGATACGCAGCCGAGATTAGAGACCCAACTACTAAAGAACGACATTGGCTAGGTACCTTTGATACTGCTCATGAAGCTGCTCTTGCTTATGATAGAGCTGCCCTTTCAATGAAGGGTACTCAAGCTAGAACTAATTTCATTTACTCTGAAACCACCCCTTTTTTCCCTCTTCTTTCACCTTTTGATGGTCCTTCTCTTTTACCTTCTTCTTCTAATCATTTCTTCTCTCTTTCTCCTCCTCTTCCTAACAAACCATCCACTTTTACTACAACTAATAATATTGTTCCCACCACTCCACCACCACCACCACCTCTTCATACGGCCTCGGCCGAGTCGAAAATCGACACCTATACTAGTATTAGTACTCATCATACATCCACAAAACATAATGATTTTAGCTTCATTACTAATAATGATAACTCAGGTTATTTGGGTTGCATTGTACCTGAAAATTGCTTAAGACCAACTCCTCCTTCCGAAAATGACCCTCATCATATCCCTAATAATAATAATGTAGGGTACGACCTTACACTATCACATTCTGATAATCAAAGCATGCCTACACCAATGTTGTTATCGTCGTCGTATGAACCTAAAGATGATTATTCATTCTCATCTTTCAGCAATAATGCTAATGAAGAAAACATAAGTGGTAACTTGGCATTGGAGATTAGCAGTAATTTCAGTGATTACTGCGATGACCTCGCCACGATAATTAATCATCCATTAATGATGGAAGAAGGTTGCATGATGGAAGGGTTATATCCTATGATTGAAGACATAGCAGCAAGTTCTTATTTTACAATGCCTTGTGCTGGTTTTAGTAGGGCACCTTATTATGATGATATGCTTGACTTGGGATATTCACTGTTTTAGTAGCATAGCTTTAACTTCCAATAAGATAATTAATTAATGCATGATTATATATTATAAAGGTACTTCTATATATAGTTAGATGTTTCATTGTTTTGAAAGATCTTGCTACTGCTTTTTTATATGTAATTACACTATATATTTTGATGTAGTACACATAATATCATGTATATGAGTGGCTGCAGTAGGTCGTGTTAAATAAGACTTCACCCGTTTCAATTTTATTTTATTTTATTTTTTATTTTTTTTTATAGTAATTGACATGTTTCTTATATCATGTTTGTCAATTCATTAATTTACCCATAATATCTCTAATTATCAATTCATACAAGATGATAGTTTGTTCGATGTGTACATTTTTTTTTTTTTTTTGTTTTAGTGAGTAAATGAGTTACACTAGCAATAGAAATTACAAATAAGAGATACTGATTCAAACCATTACAATAAGTAAAATGGCTGCACTATAGATTGAACCTAAGAGGCTAACACCAAAGGTTTTGATAATTAAGTACATTACCATTAATCTAATGTCATTTATTAATTGCATTATAATTGTAATTTAACTATTAGATTTTATCTTACATAATTTTTTTATAAGATGGTACAACCTATTCCACTTAGTTCCCATTGTAGATCCACCTCTAGTAATCCATCATACACACATACTCTCGGTCTTTGTCACTAGGTTGATACCTATTTAACTATCTATGTACTTTATTTATTTATATATATTTCATTCTCTCATATTTTTTATTTATTTAGTATACTATTTTAAAGTTACTTCATATGTATAGTAATTTAGTGGGACAATATATGATGGGTAAATTTATAAAGGTAAAGTTGTAGTAACTTCATATAAACATTTGTAATATACTAATATGCAACACAATTAAAATTATAGGACAAACAAATTAAGAATTGGAGCAAACAATGAAACAAAAAGTGCCAAAAGGGATTAATATTTTCGTTCCGTAGCATCAAAGTTCCTAGTCATCGTAAGGTTTCCAACTAATCCACCAAATATTGAATTTTGAAAATTTGTCGATAAAATTGCATTGAGACAAAAACATTTGGAGTGCATGTGCTTGCAATTAACAAAAATAAAAACGAACTTGTGTTTTGAAATATTTGAAAGCAAAATAAAATAAATAAAAATTAAAAAGTAAAGATTTGTAATAGCCATCCATATGGCCATATGTATTTATGGTTCCATTTTGGGTGGAGTTGTTGTGATAGCAATACACCGGAAAATAAGGGAAAGAGAAAGGCAAGACTGCATTAGATTATGTTTTTCATTTTATTTTCTTTATTTTTTTAAGAAAAAAGAGATAATGATTATATTAAATTAACTCCAATTCCATCAAAGTGGGGATACTTTGAGGGAAAAGACCCAAGCATACATACTTCGAGTTTAAACTCGTATCCCACTGTGTCACGAGGTGAGCGACAATGTTACAAGCTCTTTTAACATGAGAGGAAGAACAAAATTCAAACTAGCCATATCAAACCTAACGAAAAAGTCCAAAGGGAGGGTTGTGAGATACGAATCTCGTGTCTCACAAGGGTAGTTTAGGAATTTTTCCATATTAAAGTACCTATATACATTAAAGTACCACTAGAGGTCACAATGGTATATCTTTAACTCCTAGTAGTACATTGTCATTATCTAGTAGTATAAGTTTATTCATTAGTAGTAAATAATTAATTTAGACCTAAGAGTTAGGAAAAATCTAAGTTAATCTTTAAGGACCTTAAACTTTCAGTAGTACTATTTCAAATTTCAACAGTACAACGTTATTGTCCAATGATATAAGAATAGTATCCAGTGAAAAATCTTAAACAAACTGATTTTTCTTAAGCAAATTTACTAGTTGTCATATTAAAAGCTATTTTAGAATTCTTTCAATCTTAATTGTAGAAGCTGCGTTAATTTGGTATCAGAGTCATACGGTTAAATTTAAACTAAATTGGTAATTAAATTAATAATTAAGTAAAACTGGTGAATACTATACCTTCTATTGAGTGTAAGAAGCCTGATTTTAAGCACTACTATCATATTCTTGAAAATAATAATAATTTTGGCCCATTCCTTAATTATATAGTAGATCAAATTGGTGAATTAAGATCGAAAGTTGATAACATACATGCTCATTATATTAATATCGAAAATAAGATATCAATAACCACAACCGATATTTAAAAAAAAAGTGATTTAAAAGAACAGGTTAAACAAGTTTAACTTGCTTTAACAAACGAAGTTAGGCATCAATTGGGTAAAAGAAGTATCACCTAATAAAGAGAAAATTGTCCTGTATAAATATAAGTAGACTTTTCAAAATTTATATAAAAATAAAATTTTTTATTGTATCACTGCCTAAAAAACCTACTAGTAACCTAGAAAAGAATAAAGAAACTAAAGAGGATCCCTCATCTTCAGGAGAAAACGTTTAATAACAAACTACAAATTTTGTTTGATAAAGAAGACAACCCTAATAAGCTAAACGAAATCATGAACTTAATTTCTAAAAAAGGAATTTATCCTGAAATGGAGGAAAATAATTATGTTTCTTTAGAAGAAGATTTATATCTACAAATGGGATTGAAAAAATTAGATGATCTGGACTTTCTACCTATAGAAGTTGTCCAACAAAAGATTGAAAACAAATAAGGTAAAAAAGAGTAATGAATAATAATGATGTTGGAGAAGAAATTATTAATAAAAGTATTAACATAAACAATGTTATCAAAAGACCTAGGTATCAAGGAGAAGAAAGTTGCACACGACCAAGATACATACTAGGGAAGAGTACCCGGTTTAGTGTCAAGGTTATGCCTAATCATATACGTACCTAAACAAGAAGAAGTGACTCTTGAACCTATAAGTCAAACTAGTTATAAGCTTAAATTAGATAGTGTAAGAGATAGACAAGATGTTTTGGATCAGTGAAAAAAGAGTATGAGTAGTAGTGTACTTAATTTAAACACTGAATGGACTTCTGAAAATTTCTTAAATTATATCGAACATAGTCTCTATGGCTGTGTAGAAGACTTATACAATGGAATAGATGAAGAAGTCAAAACCACATTAAGAGCTAGTGAATCTCCTACTAGAATGTGTAGACAATTATGTTAATACATTGAGTTAGAATTCATTGGTTCTAGAGCTGATCCTAATGAAAAACGAATGAAATTAATATCAAAGAAAGTTAAGTAATTTGTCCATTTGTAATATGAAATATGTTGGTAATTACATTATGGAATTTGAAACATATTATTATAATATTGGTGAAAATGAAATAAATCTTGGAATGTTCTATGACAAATTATCCAGTCCCCTTAATGAAGAAATTAGCGAAAAATATCAAGAATGGAGAGATAAATTCTTAGTTAGGGATGCCCTAGGTAATATAATTGCTTTTCTGAGAAAATGGATTGAAAAGAAATGTCGAGAGGTTGCAGGAACTCAACAAATGAAAAGACAATTTCTCACTTGTTGGGATTTCCCAAATAACTATGGATGTGAAAGAAAATACTATAATAAGAGAAGGAATTATAAGAAAAATAAATTTGAACGATCAAGAGGAGAAACCTATAAGAAAAAGTATTATAAACATAAATATGGAAAAACCAAGTAGGTGTTTTTAGAAATGCAACATATTGTCCTGAGAGAAAGAAAACATGCAAGTGTTGGACTTGTGGAGAATTAGGACATTATGCTAATGAATGTAAGAAAGATAATCATAAACTAATAGAAGCTTTACAAAGTTGGGATTACATAGAAATACCAGAAGACAAAGGTTTAGAATTGACTTTAAGTAATAATAAGGGAATAGTAGAAATAACAGAAGAGGAAAATGAGTATAATAAATAATATGATGGAAGGAGAAGTATTAGAAAACTCATAATCAGATGACAATGAGGATAAAAGTAAAATGACTATAGGTCAACTAAAAAGAGCTGAGTATTCATTTGAAGACAATGACCTAGATCAACTAAACAAAGAAAACTGGAATTTCCCCCAGATTACTAAGGATAAAATATTTAAACTTCTTTCTTTAAAACTAGAACCAAATATGTATGCGAGGAAATGGAAGGAAGTATAGTAATCAAAGATTGTGAACAAAAGGCAGCCGAAAATCCAAAATTAATATCATAAACTAGAAAAGTATTAAAAAACATAAAGAAAAAGGAAATTATAGTTATATTTGTATTGGTGCAGTTCAAGTATACATAACTCCTTTACAAGATTTTGGCAAGGATGTTAAATGCTTGAGTTTTATTTGTGATATAAGACATAAGGAATTTTATGATCAAATAATTAGTGGTATCACATGTAACCTAAGTCAAGGAACGGTAAGCTATATATGTGAACCAAGATATTATGTGAGCTTAGAGGATTCATTTGCGTCAAATTTTTTAGCTAGCAAGCTATTAACAGAAGGAGTGAAAATGCATAAAGGAACACGACCCATACAATTAAGATGGAAGGTGGTTTATAAGTTGGTAAACACTATAGATTCATCTCTTAAGAAACAAATAGTCAATGCCTAGATATATGAGCAAGGAGAAGGTAAAAAATTACACCGATAAAAGTAAATCCTAATGAAATTGAAATTAAAAAAAACTTGGGAGGAATTCTTAATGAACATTGCAGTTAGTAATAGATCAAGTAAGATGTTAGTTGATAAATCAGGATTACTTCATATTGGAATGACTACAAAACCTAAAATACAGAGAAATACGAGTCTTAGAGCACCAAATCTAAGCCGACAAAATTCAACAACCGACAAAATTCAATAATAATAAGAATGAAAAAAACAAGGTGATGAAAAGCTAGAAGAGGATGAGGAAGAAATATTAGTTCTACTAAAGAAACGAAATGAAAATATATGAAAGTAAAAAAGCCTTAAGACAAACAGCAAGGCACATCATTGATATGGGGTCATATTCTAATTTAGAGTTTAATGAACATCCAAATAATCCTATTTGATAAAAGGACGGTAATTGGATATAAGACCAAAACGGTGAGTGAACTAGTATATGAAGAAAAAGTTAACATGCAAATGGAAGCTTGTAATGAAGTAATCAGTACTAATCCAAATAGAATTTATATTCCAATTGATATATGCATTGAATAATATAGTAAATATAAATTATGTGCATATATTGATAGTGGTTGTTCTACAGTTCTAGAATTTTTATGGAAAAAAGCAAAAAATCATGTGCAAGTTATTTAGAATTGCTAATAATAGTGTTATGAGGCATACGGAAATAATTGAAAAATTACCAATAGAAATTGGAGGAGTTCGATGTGTTATTCCTACTTTATGGGCAACTAATTAACCTAGTCATGATATGATTATAGGAAATAATTTTCAGAGATTATACTCTCCATGCACTCAAACCATTGATCAAATTATCTTTACTATTAATGGTCATTCTGTTCCCATATAGAAAATAACAAAGCCTTATACTCATCAGAATATGGAATATACGCACAGCCAGCGTGATGATAGGGTTACCCCTAGACAACGAGAGGTTGCACTTAGAATTTAGGAAAAATTGCTCCCATTAATCTGAACTTTGCC